AGACCTCCAAGTGTTTTCCCCTGAGGTAAGGAGAGTACTACCCCCACAACCTACAAAGAACTAAATGTCTTTCCACATAGGACAAAGGAATATTTCCTTTCAAGTCTTTTTATTAAGGCTACAACAAAGAATTAATTAATTCACTCAGTTACACAATGTTCTGAAACTTTTCATCTTCCATGACCCCTTTTTCCCTTGGCCACTATATTTCATGTATCTTCACTGAAAACTGGGGAAAACTGGGGGATAGGGAAAGAGGGAGGACTTGACAGATTATATTGCTGGTTCTCTCCATAATTAGGTAAGAATTGTCACAACCAACTGTTTGGAATTCCACATTTCCTATTTTCAGAACCCTTTGTTAACAAAAAGCAATAAGCAGGGAAAAAAAGCAAAATAGGCTTTGGAAGCCTTGATTTGTGGGATTAAGTTTAGTATATGTAATGGTGCTAGGGCATTGGAACAGGCTAGGATACTGGTGTCCCCACAATATATAAAAGAGAAGAAAATGATGGGCCAGCAAAATTTTTCCTTAGTATAGACAATTCCACTGGGTTGCTGCCAGGTCCAGGGCAAAATTCTACACACTGAATTAGCAGCAGAGCTGTATGTAGAGCTGTAGTGCTGCGCCCCCTAGTGGCTAGTTCTTTTTATTCAATTGTCTTATCTTGTTTTGCTAGAACCATTAACAGCCTCCATCTATATTCTATCATCTTATTCCTCTATCATTACTAACACCGACTTTGGAACAGGATCAGTTGTTGGGACACAGTTCTTGAAGGTGAGATTGATTCCCTTGGAAACCGACTGAGATGGAGAGTTACATGCAGAAGGTTTTTTGAGGGAATGCTTTTGGAAGACAGGTGAGTAAGGAAGCAAGGAATCAGGAATGGGCAAAGGAGGAAGGTAACTCACAAGTGTGGTTGCAGTTGATGATTCAGCTGATCCTGTGGGGTGATCATAGGATAAGGAGCTAAGATGACCTCTTCGAGTTGTCCCAGATTGAGATGATGGAACCATACCTTCACATCCGTGCATCAGTTTATTGATGGCTATAAGAGGCACCTAGAAGAAGGTGTAACTCACCAAGGTGACTGTTCCCTGAGGCTCAGGGAACTGCACAGTGGTTCAGCAAATACTAGTTTTTCTTCCATTTTTCTTTCCTGTTCACTAGTTTCTGACTCCCTTCTTCCCAAGAGTTCACTCTCTGTGCCAGCATAACCACTGCCACAGATGGGTCCTCTGATTTCATCTAGGCAGAAAATGTTCTTGGCTTCTTAGTGGCACTTGAAAAAAGATTTTTTCTATACAAAGTTTCCACCAAAGCCTTGCTTTGTCTAATTCTCCTATGCTTAAACCAATATCTTAATATTACCATTCCAATGAGAGGAAAGACCAGACTCAAGGGTGCCAGGAAAAAAATGAGCAAAAGTCATTCAGAAGATAAGCTTAGTTGTTTATACTCAAAAGGCTCCTACCTCCATCCCTCTGAAAACATGATCTAGTCAGGGTAACAGCACTTCTTCCTTGTTGGCAGGATTGAAAATGTTTCATCTTGACTAGTCCTGGGGAGGGAGGGGAGGAGAGGGTGAAGACTACTACTAGCTGTCCACCAGGCTGTATTCTCTCCTTCTGTATTAATAGATAATTGGCTGGAGCATGACTACTCAGATAGGCACCTCATTTGCCAGCTTCCCTTGCAGCTAGTTGTGGACTAAGCCCTCATCAATGGAACTGAGCAGAAGAGATGTATACAGCTTTCACCATGTTTGCTTAAGAGTATATCTCTGGCCTTGGATTTCTGTTCTTTTTATCTCCTCATGAACCAGAAATGCTTCGACCAGAATGATCTTTTGAGTGCTACATGTTGAAGTTGGAAGTCATTGTCCCAGGTCCCTGAATAACTGAGTAGAACAGAGCCAGTGACCTTCTTTGAACAGCTTTGGACCATATCATATTGGACCTCCTAAGTAAATCTTCATATCCTACCTCAAATCCCACTTCCTCCAGGAAACATCCATGAATACTTCCTTTTCCTTTTCTTGACCATCACATTAGTATCTGTCCCTCAAGTTTTCTGGTACCAAACAAGTTTTCTATTTGTTTCTTATTTTTGTTCTTTATTTGGTGTGTTCTTGTTCTGGTCTCTTAAACTACAAGGAACTCCCAAAATGGGGCACACTGTTTGTACTCCTCTTTCCCCAACAGCGCTGCTGTGGTGGATGCTGGTGATGCCCCCACACAGGTCCCCTCACCAGGCTGCAGGGAATGTTGGGTGCCATCTCCTCAACACCGCCCTCTTCCCCCAGACACTTAGCCTCAAGCAAATGGGACCACTTCCGGGAGGATAAGTATCCCTCTAGAAGCCAGCAGCCCTAACACAGGATAGAAGAGGACAGTCACAAAAGATGGAATCAACTCTTTGGTAGCTTCAGAACCTTCCCCAGGAACTACACTGTTGATAATCTCCAACAAGAGCTCTTCCTTACTTAGCTTGCTTTCACTGTTCTACCCTGCAATGAATAGCTCACTGCTGTCAGCCCTCAGCTGATAAGAACCTCTCTGTGACCCTCTTCTAGTCCCCCACCTCAGAAGGGTGACTTACAACCAGTGACTGACAGATTTGGGGTTGCAAAAGTGCCCTTCTCAAAGTAGTATACATTCTGCTATTTGGTTTATGTTCTAGCCATAGAAGTTCCCGTGGATCAGATCAGAGCTAGACATAACCTGAGACACACTTTGGCTCTCTTCTTTTCACTGTCTATTTCATTCTCTCTCTCTCTCTCGCAGATTTTTCCTTCAAAGCACTCCTCACCAATAAATGCCTGTCTCAGGTTCTGTTTCTAAGAAGCCCAGCATAAGGCCCCTGGAGTCAATCCTCTGCCTTCATTTTTCCAGATTCAGTTCCTGGGACTTTCAGATCCACTCTCTAGACTGTGAGTGTCACAGGACCTAAATTAGGCCATGGGTGTGTACTGAAGGCCCTAGATAAAAAATAAGCTTGAAGTGATTGTAAGAAATAACCTCCTACATGGTAGTGTTATGAGGATTTTTAAAACTAAATGAGTTGCCAGCCATTGTGGCACACATCTGTAACCCCAGCACTCAGGAGGTGGAAACAAGAGGATAGGGAGTTCCAGGCCAGTCTGGGATAGATTGTGAGTTCCAAGATAGACCCTGTCTCAAAAAAAAAAAAAAAAGTTGTATAAAATGCCTAAACCTCACAAATAGGAAATGCTCTTAAGTATTACAGCAGGTATTGATTTTGATTACTTATGTATTCTAAGTTTGTCTGGGTGAGTGCTTGGCACATAGTATGCCCTCAATAAAATCTGTTGAATTTACAATTACTGAAGATTTGCTGAAGGCTCAAGGTGATGTGCTAGGATTTGACCAGCAGAGGGCAGAACTTGTGCAGGGAAAGGTCTGATGTACTGAGTGAGACAGTGGGACAGCCCTCCCAGACAATAGGACAGATCTGAGGCAGGACTGGGAGGAATGCCTACATCAGAGCATACTAGACCGTTGAAATGTGCCTCCTTAAAGTCCTACACTTTAATGCACTGAACTCCTGCTTTGTAAATTCAGACAGATAAGTAGTTTCAGGCCCTTAGATCCCTAGAGTTGCTCAAGTGTCTGCAGCTCCTCCTAAACTTGTGAGCTACCCAGTATCTCTCACAAATCCCTTTCATGGGTGTGTTAACATACGCTGGGTTTCCTTAACTTGAAGCATTTGGATTATTTTATGAGTAAGTCCTGGGAATGGAGAACCTCCTTCACAGACGGGGATGCTGAAGTCATAAGAGCAGCCATGCTGGTCCTGCTGCTTGCTCCTCGGTCAACCTGCTCTCTCCAAGACAGTGTTCCCCCACATTTTTGGGGGAGTGGGGAGGACTGGGTTTTGAACTCAAGGTTTTGTGCTTTCTAGGCAGATGCTCTATTACTTGAACCCTTTTTTGCTTTAGTGATTTTTTTGGATAGGGTCTTGAGTTACTGCCTGGGTGTGGCCTCAGACCACATCCTCTTACCTATACCTCCCTAGTAGTGGGACTACCGGTTCTTGCTATCATGCCCAACTATTTGTTGAGATGGGATCTCGCTAATTTTTTGTCTGGGCTGGCCTCAAACCATGATCCTCCCAATATCCACCTCTCAACTATCAGGGATTACAGATGTGCACTACCATGCCTAGATCTCTCCCACACTTCTGCCTCCAAGCTTCCCTTGTTTTATTATCTTCGCTCACTTTGCTTATTAAAATTGATCCTGTATTTAAAAACTCAGTTTAAGTTCTACCTTTCTTTGACTCTTCCAGAGAACTACTCAGTCTCATTTCTTAAAACTCTTAGAGCATTCATCACATGACCATTCATTCTTTTTTTTTTTAATTCAGTTAGTTTTTATTTTATTTTGCCCACAATGTGTGTGTGGAGGTGGGGGAGGTGACTGGCTGGCAGTAGCTGGCAGTGACTGCTTGGCTTGTTTTGCTTGCTTTTATTTATTTTTTTTTTTATGATTTTGTGTGGCAGCAGTGACTGCTTTTTTTTTTTTTCATAATTTTTCACATGGGCAGCAAGGACAAAGGAGGAATTCCCTGAGTCTATCTGTATGTAATTAAAACTTCTCTCTCTCTCCTCTCCTCTCTCTCTCTCCGTGACCATTCCTTCTTACACACAATTGCATTCTGTATTTTATTTGGAGTTTGGGCTTGGTAGTCTTGCAAGTTCTATCAGCTGAAGACTTCAGATGTTACTTCTCCTAAAGGAGGTCTCCACTTCTCCCTCAAGAAGAGATAAGAAAGGTTTGTGCACAAATAGGGCTCAGCACAGATTTGCATGGATTCTGTATACCTGTTCATGGGAAGATGTGTTCTGTAAGCCTCCATTCAAGACACACAGAGGGGGTAAAGGGTATAGCTCAAGTGGTGGAGCCTCTAGGTGCAAACCTCAGTACCACAAAAAAACAAAATAAAATAAAAAAAGAGAAAGAGAAAGGCATTTATTTTTATTTTTTCAAAGTAGAAGCAGTTTCCTCCCCCCCTCCCCTTATTTTATAATTAACACACAAATGGCAAATAAGCCAAGTATTACATATATTTATAACAGTGGAAAAGGAGAGTCACCCATAATCCTATGCCACAGAAATAACTTCTATCAAAATATTTCAGAGTTTTGTTATATACAAACATAATGCTTTGGTGACGCCTGTTGAGAACCATGTTGAGATCCTTTGTGATGAAATCAAACAGGACAGTGGGTAGTTCCAGTCTGGGATTTGGAGCAAATAGCTTGTGAAGAATCCACTCACCACAGTGCACAAGTTACACTGAACTATGTGAAGCGACTTATATTCAACTGTTTTGGCCTACAAACACAGAAGTTTTACATGATTTAACTTAATGTATGTGACACCTATGACATCAAAACTGACAGACCCCTGATAGACTTTCAAGTCTAACTATTTCATTGTGCTGAAGAGGACAAATGACCAGAGAGAGAACTGTCCAGCCTAAGGTCATACACCATAGTGGAAGAACTAGAGCTGATTCTCCTTCTACTGAACCATGTGCCTGCCTTTCATACCGGGCATCTTTAAATATGATAATCTTTTAGGTGTAATAATAATCTTTAGAAGCAGATTTCAATTTGATATTAGAAAAATTCTCAAAGAATTCAATCAAGGCAGAAGCTACTTCGGAGGTAGTGAAGACCCCATGACTGGAGATGTGGGTGGGACTGGCACTGTGACATGGGCTCAAGAGGCACCTGGACCATGGAGTGCAACATTCACCCTCCTAAGGTTCTAGGGGTGCTCTTGGAAACATATTAACAACACAGTGATACATTTTTGTAATACTAGCAAAATAAGGTATTTTAGAATTCTATCTATCTGTCTATCTATCTATCTATCTATCTATCTACCTACCTACCTACCTATCTATCTATCTATCATCTATCTATTGCGAGAAGGGAGGTCTTGTTTTATTGCCTGGACTAATCTTGAACTTCTGAAGTCAAGTGATCCTCCCACCTCAGTCTCCCAAGTGCAGGGATTACAGCCTCAAGTTCTTCAGGTCTGAATCTATCCCATGTGGCATTGAGTTTCAAAAAGTGGTAGGCAAGGAAGCCAGAGTTCCTGAGTTCCAATCATGGCATTCACCCTGCTTTATTTGCATGGGAGGTAAAATAACAAATGTTAAATGTATTTTTAAAAATAAAATGTGAATTAATACAAATAAGTAACATTACTTAGATTTCCTATCTGTATGGAATAATTATCACTGCTTGTCATAGTTGTTGAAGATCACATATTTTTTTTAAAAAATGTGTCCCCAGAGCACCTTCCTGTTTCATTTCCCTCTGTTACAACTTCCTCTTCTGCCAGTAATCCAGCCATTAGTCACTGGTCTTTATCTTTTCATATTTTTTTTTTCAGAACCAGGCTAGGTAAGCACTTTACCACTTGAACAATGCCCCAAGTCCTTTTGGTTTTTAGTTTTGTTTTTATGGTAGGGTCTTGCTAACTTTGTCCAGGCTGGCCTTGAACTATGATCCTCCTGCCTCTGCCTCCCGAGTAGCTAGATTATAGCTGTGAGCTACCAAACCTGGCTCTTTTCATGCTTCTATGTTTGTTCATGGGCTTCCACTGTTTATAGTTTCTATCTTTGCTTAGAAAAAGTCTTATGCACAGATGCAGGCCTACCAGATCCCCCTATTCCATACCAATGATGACCTCTAAGCACTGATTCATAGGTACAGACATGGAGGCCTGATATGGCCCATAGCTGAGTTCTGGAAGCCCAAGAAAATCTTCAGGTGTCTTGATCTTCCGATCCTCAGGCACCTCATGTCAGATCATAGACACACGGTTCTTTATGTATACATGATAAGGGTCATTACGCTTGTCCACTTTGTGGGAACGAGTGTATCCCAGGATAAGGCTGCCCACAGTGACAGCAAAAAGGAACATAACGAAGAGAATATACATGTAGGAGTTGTCATTACGGCCAGGGAGGCTATTCCGTAGCTCCTCAGTCTGGTTGTCTGGTCCTGGTTCTGACCTTGGTCCTGGTCCCAGACGGCAAAGCAAGTTGTTGTGAAGAGTAGCATTTAGAGCCTTCAATACAGTGTGCAGACTCTCATACCAGGTTTCAGTGCTATTGACAGTCTCCATAGCAACAGAAATGAAGGTGGAAGAATCGGAATATGTTCTGAGGGCAAGAGAAAAAAGGGAAGGGATGGCTTCTGTTACCTGCAGCTTGAATGATCTCCCCAGTCTTCAGGCTCCAGCTAGAATCTCAACATCATGGCCTGTTCTCACTGCTTGTTTACTTGTCTGTTTCTTCACTGGACCATAAGTTCAAATGAAGGCAGGCACTAAGTCTGTGTTACTCACGGCTGTATTTAAGCTCTTGTGACTGCACTGTATAGGTGTTCAATAAATACTTGTGGAGCATTGTAAACCCTATTAATCTCTCCTTTCTCTAAATTGTGTAAGTCACTGAACTTCAGGCTAGAAGGGCCTTAGAGATTATTTAATCTAACTCCTTCAATTTTATGCACAAGGGAAAATGAAGCACAAAATGAATAAATGGCCTGTCCATGATCACAGAGAATATCAGAGGTAAAGCAAAGATGTCTACTTTCTCTATCTATTTTTGACATATTTCTCTATATGTCAAATACCCACAATTCACTGACTGATTCCAAAGCCCTCCTTCATCTAGGCAGAATTGTCAACAAACCAAAGTTAACAAACAAGACCATTAACCATAGGGTCTCTTATTCAGAAAAGATGACAGTTCTGACCATGATAAACATTCATGAATGGCTCAATCAGAAGTTGGGGAGAAAAACCCAAATAATATTGCAGCCTCAGAACCAACCCACATTTCATGCAAGGCCTTTGGGACCCTCCACCATCTAGTACTTGTGCTATCTCATCTGATTGATTGATTGGTTGATTAATGGTACTGGGGTTTGAGTTCAGGTCATTATGTTTGCTAGGTAGGCACTCTACCACTTATACCACTCTGCCAGTCCAGTCCAATGCCTTCTCATCTGGATGAAGAAGGGGAAAAGAACAAGGCTCATGAATTAAGATCCGGTAGATAAGAAATTTGCGTCTTCCCTCACATGGGCCCAGTGGCAAGTAGGAGCAGTGCAATGAAATGACTAACTCAATAAATTATTCAACCAGTCATCATTTATCTGGACCAGGCCCCATTCTGGGACACTGGGGAGACTCAAACCCAGTCCCTGCAGTCAGGGACTCACTGCTAGTCTAATATGGGGCAAGCAACAAGCCAGGAGCAGCTTAAAGGAAGAAGTGATGAATTCTGATCAAGGCTCAGAGAATGTTCACAGGTGGAGGCATTTGAATTGGACCTTAAAGGGTTTTTCGGAGGTAGAGAAGGCAAGGGAAGGAAAGAGATGAGCAAAGGCACATCAATAAGAAAATACATAAAATGTTTAGAAGAATGGAAGGTAGCATAAAGAGGTTGGAGCATAAGTGGTACGGAAGGATAAGAGAGATATGGGACAGGAAAAACTGGATCATGGAAGTAAATGAATGCTGTGCTGCAGATGTGGAACTTTATCCTATAACTGGATTTAAAAATGCCATGGAATAATATTTTTAAAGAGCATAAAATAATCAGATCTGTGCTTAGAAAGAACACTCTGGACTCTTTGTGGTCTGAAAGAGATGAGAATCAAGGCAGGGGTCCAGTGACAAAGGTCTTAAAATTGTTTAGGAGCAAGATGCTGAGTCTTGGAACAGGGCAGAGAGAATGACAAAGTGGGGGTGGGGGGACAAATGTGAGATAGCAGAGGTGTTTGGGAGAGGGAATGGCTAGCATGAGGGTTGAAGGAGGAAGGGCTCTTAGACAAGTTTACAGGTAAACAACAAATAACATGAGGCGCCCACTTGGAGGGAAATGAGCTCCTGTTCCTGTTGGACATTGGTTTCCTTATTTATCAGAAAAGATCGTCACTGGGAGTTACACAGTAGGTACACAGCTTCAGTCTTACAAATGGAAAAATTCTAGAGGGGTGTAGCACAACAATGTGAAAACAGTTAACATTACTGAGCTACACATTTAAATGGTTAAGATGGCCAAGCTTTGTATTATGTGTTTTTAGCACAATTAAAATAAAAAAGATTACTGCCCTGCTTCTTTCAAGGCTTGCTATGAATATATACTTTACTACATTGAAGAGAAGTAATTCTTTTCATTTTTTGAGAAGCAAATACACATATGCAGTTTAAAAAAAAAAAAAAACAAGCAGTTTTTTCATATAATGAAAATGAAAACTGCCTCTTCCTAGTCATCCAGGGCAGTTACTACTATCCCTTTTCTTAGATATCCTAGGAAAGGTTTTTAACTGGTAGGGTAGAGGGAGGACAGATTTTCAATATGGAAAACTTACCAAACAGCAGGCAAACTTGCTGGCTCTGAGATGGCTCTGCCTCTTCAAGATGTCTCTGGATACAGCTAGGGTCTCAGTATCGACACTGAGTGTTGAAAATGCCTAGAGCTGGAAAACAGGGTAGAGGCAGAAGAAAAAGGAACCAGAAAACAGAACAAACTTCAGAACCAGGGTGGATCACCCAAGGTCAGTTCCTAAGGGTTGTGCAATACTCTTGCTGTGGGCTCTGAGCCACCCCACCCCCCCATTCCTCTCTGAAATAACTGGGTCACTCAGACCAGTCTGGGGTTGTAGTTACAGGAACTATGCAGTGGCCAAGGGGCATCTGATTATTGTCTCCCAACCCCAGGCTCATGTCTTAACTGGATGACTTCATGAGAAACCTCCATTTAACATGTGGACTCCTACTCAGGACCAGCCAATGATGGAGCCTAAAATCTTCCTCTTCCCAAGGGAACTGGTACCTTAGCAGAAACCTTTTAGAATCCTGACAGAATGATGTGGGTAGTAGAACAGTAGTCATCAGTTACATAGGAACAAACGATATGTTACCAATCAAATCTATTTGGACAGAGAGGATATAAACATGGTCCCAGAATTAACATTGTCTATAGTATAATTTTGTTGTAAAAATTAAAGTAGGACGTTATGGAGTGATTGATGCCATCCACAGATGGTGACTGTGGTTTTATTTTGTAGAACAGAGCCTTCAGAGTTCATCTAGTCTAAATGTCCTCATTTTGCAATGAGGGAAATGGAAACCCAGGCATCTGCCTTGGTTTAGCTACTACTTGTGTGGCTTTGGGCAGGTGACTTCCCTTTTCTGGGCCTCAGCTTCTATCTGCATCTGTTAAAATGAAAGGGTCTTGGTCAGCTCTAATGTCCTTTGACAGTATGAATTACAATACCATGCTGTGAGATCTTGGGAGACTGGATAGGCTGGTTGAGAGGGGTACTTTGGGGGCTTCGAAAGCCCCTCAAATTCCAAGATACAGAAAGCTGCAGACTTAACTAACAGGCTAAGATATTCCTGAGCCTTGGGTCTGACTCACACTTACTATCCCAGCCTAGGTAAACTGAGAGCCAAGTTGGTTGACTTGTATATTTTTCCTCTTAGCAGCTCACCTGCCAGGGTGGTCTGTTCTGGGGAGGAGAAAGACTGTGTGGAAAGTGGGGCTGGGGGTAGTGTGAGGAACAGGGTGGGCTCTGAGGAAGGGTTTACTGAGAGAAGTGAAGAATCACAAAACCTTTCATCCATCAGGGCCTCCTGGGGGGGACTCTGGATAGATCTAGATATTTGTGATTCTGATGGGAGATGGAAAGAGGCCATAATTGTATATTGTTTGGTGCCAGGTTTGGGTGGGATTAGAGGCATCCTTCTGGGGTCAGGAAAGACAGACAGCTGATGAAAGGACTTGCTGGTTTTCTATGGTTTGTTTCTGGGACCCATGTTGGGGATTGGCAGTCAACAACATTGAGCATTTTGCTCCTCTTGAATTCCTTGGCTTCCCTCTCCAACAGAGTCATTGATTACCAAGCTCCTGGGATAGAGAAGAGAGAATGACTGTCCTGGAGAGGCCTTGACTTAAAACAAGAGATAAAACAGTTTGAAAGAAAGATGAACAGTTATTGAGCAAGCTGAAAGGAACTTTAAAGATCATCTATAGTCTGGATTCTGAGCCCACACCTCCATTCTGTAGTTGGGAAAACTGATGTTCCAAAAGAGGAAGTGTTTACTCCAAAATAACACAGACACAGTCAGTACATGGCAGAGCTCAGATAAAAACCCAGGTCTTTTTTTTTTGGCAGTACTGGGGTTTGAATTCAGGGCCTCATTGTTTGCTAGGCAAGTGTTCTACCACTTGAGCCACTCTGCCAGCCCTAGATCCCAGGTCTTTGATGGTGCTGTTGGATGTTCTTTCCACTACAAATGGTAGTGGAAAGTAGTTCCCTTGCATCTGAGCTGTTTACACACCAAATGCAAGGTAGTTCCCTTGCATCTGAGCTGTTTACACACCAAATGCAGCCTCCTTACATCATGGAGCATTCACTCCTCTAACTCCATGAGGAGTGACACCAGAAACCAGGTGTCCTGACTCTTCTTTCATAATCTTTCCAGTGTAAGTTCCCTTCTGCCTGTATATAGGTGAAGTCTAAACTCTTGACTATCAGTCAAACTCCTTGGGATGTGATCTTGCCACTGGCCCCATCTCCTTATGGCTCTCTCCAGTGCCTGTGTCCATGACACTGAGCTACAGGCCATTCTCCAAACATTCCTTGCACTTGGATACCTTTTGCCTTGCTCATACTTTTTTTCTTAGACAGGAATTTCCCTTTTCCTTTCTATCTGTTCAGCAAACTCTTAAGATTCTCATCCTTCAAGACCCAGTTCACTTTCACCTGTTTAGATCCTCTCCTGAGGCACCTCCTTCTTTATTCCCTAGCCAGTTAGTCTCTCTCTCTTGGCTGTGTCCAAAGTACTTTTCACAAAGCCCTATCAGTAAGAAAATGTGGTATCTATACACAACGGAAATTTATTCAGCCATGAAGAAGAACGAGATGTTATCATTTGCTGGTAAATGGATGGAATTGGAGAACATCATTCTGAGTGAGGTTAGCCTGGCCCAAAAGACCA